CATTGGCTTTCTCTTCCTTTCCCCCTTACGATCTTGTTCTCTATCCCTCTCTCTCTCTCTCTCTCTCTCTCTCTCTCTCTCTCTCTCTTGCTGCTTCCCTCTTGCTCTCTCAGGGCTATGAGGACTGGCTCAGACACAAGGCTGACTGCTCTATAAACGAGTGTCCGGTGGACGTGGTGCAGCAGGGGAAGGTGGTGAGAACACAGAGTCACAAGCTACGGGTAAGAATGGCCTCATTAGAGCAGCGTAGCACCTGAGGCCACAAAGCAACACTACAGTACACTGCTGCATAGCTCTCTTTTTCTATAACTGTCTCTCACCCTCCCCGCTTCTCTTCCTCTCGAACTTTGTTCGCTTTCTCTCTCAGTCTCTCTCTTTTCTTTCCCACCAATTAATTGCCCTGAAACTGAAGTAGAAAGACAGATCTAGTGTCCTCCGGTGCACCAAGCAAGAGTCCCTTGACAAGTGAACAGGACTGATGTATTTCATGAGTTAGGATATTTCTGTCATCATCTGGTGATGTTCTCTTATGTCATTCTGATGCAACAGCAGAACACTCTTTGGTATTGCGCTTCAGTCTCATTCTCGAAAATGTCTTGCTATTTATGGCCGGTAATTTTTTTTTGGTTCAATGTTGTTTGCAACGTTATCGCCTTTTTATATAAAGTAGTTTCTATTGTTACTGATGGTGACTGCCTGTCCCGTGTTGAATTCAAATTGAGCACCCACGCTCAATGGATTTCATTTAACGCAGACATTTGATCATGACTTCAGTGCAACCATGTTTTGTCTGTAAACCAGTGCACGAGTTGCTCTTCTTCTGTTTTATTTTTGACGAAGGACCTAAACATACTGTTTTTCGCAATCTGGGAACTGAGTTATTAATATGCACGAGCAGTTACCGCCTGTAAACACAGGTGTTGCCAAGTCAACTAGGACAAAAGTTATTATATATTCTCGTTATTGTCAACAAAGCCCATGAAAAGCAACAATGCATTTGTGCGCTTCTCAATACTTTATACCCTGTCTGTGTCGGTCCCAAGCATAATTATCCCGTCTGAAGACATACATCTTTAAAAATGTGTTTTTTAAAGAAACAACTGCAGCTTTTACTCAAACAGCAGTAAATAGCATCTTGCTGGGGACTATTTTTGTGCGTTTACGGCAGCAGAGCAGTGCATGTGGGGATGACTCACAACAAACTATAGTGCCTGTGTTCATTGTACTGAGGAAACATGCCACCCTGTGCAGGCTTTAGCTTCACAGACCATTCTTGTTAGTACGGTCAGCTCATCATTGGTTTCGGTCTTTTTATGGGTTTTGTTGACAATGTGTTGCCGTCTTCAAACATCATGTAAAGATTTTATAGCGCAAAACGACGCATGCTAGCAGGGCAAACAATCAAAAGCTAGTGTACACTCAAGCCTCTATAGCTTCATCTAAAACTCACAAGAGTTCACTTACAGTACTCCAAATATTAACCAACCAGAAGTTAGAAATAGTTTGAGGTCACTACTGGTCTATATAAATCATTGTCAGGGTATCTGCAAGTATTCAATTCAATTTACAACATTCTCAAATATTTTGTCTTACTTGTTATAGACGGTAACATTAGCTGTAGGTTTCATTTCATTAGTGATATCGTGTTTTCTAGTTGTGGGTACACTACCAGTTTTCTGTGACTCTTTGACGGGTATGAGTTTTAAAAATATCTTAAATTGCATTCTATGTGGTGGGAAAAGTGTCTTTACAAGTCTTACATTTGGGACCCTGATTCCACAATGGAGATGAATAAGTCCAACGGTGTTACTTTTTTCGCGACACATTGCAGAGTGCTCGGAACAATACAGCAGCAAGAATGGCAGGGGGGGCGATAGAGTAGAGCCAATACCAGGTCCTTTAATATTGTTTTGTTTTATTCAGTGGTCCCGTTCCTGGTAGCAGATGTAGAGGTGAAGATTTCTTTAGAAAGACATGAACCAGTTTCACCGAGCCGGCATATTACTCCGCAGGTATCTGTCTCGCATCATCCCAGCGTAAATGAAAACGGAGGTGTCAGACTACGTAATGTGATTTTTGTAGCTCAGCACCTCCTTTGTAGATGTGTAGATACGACATATCTCAGTCTTGTTTCACCATTGTGTCGGAGGGTATAATTTAGGTGCAGGTACATCTCATTTCTGCTCTCTTGTCGAACATGCAGAGACTGTGTGGGACGTTGAGGGTCAGCTTAGAATAGGGCTTAAAGGTTACAGAGTCTTATAGTTTGCGTCTCCACAGCAGTAGTTTCCGCTGGACGTCACTGGTCCAGAAAGACATTCTACATCAGAAAACAGAAAGTCTCTCGCGCTGTCTTGTTCTGTCTCCCTTTGTCTTGTCTTCCAGCGTTTTCTGTTCCAAGGTTTCTCACCACCACAGATGAAACAGAGAGGATTAGCGTGTGAATTGGGAGCAGGAATAATGATGAATATATTAATCATGCAAAATCAGAGAGCGTGTGTCATGTGTATGGTCACCGTGGAGATAGGATTTATCAGAGCTTAAGCTGCTCTGCAAGCATAATCCGTTATGCAATTTCTCAATCCTTTGAAAAAAAAAAAAAAAAGGAATGGTAAAGGATGAGCAGACGATGCACCGCGGGTCTGTGTGTTTGTCTTTTACAATCCGTGTTTACGTGAAGCTCTCATTTATTATTGCGTAGGTGGGGGACATCGTCGTGGTGAGGGAGGATGAGACTTTCCCCTGTGATCTCATCCTGCTCTCCTCCAGCCGCCATGACGGGACCTGCTACGTCACCACTGCCAGCCTGGACGGGGAGTCCAGTCACAAGGTGCCAGGACTAGTGCAGGATTTTGATTATATATGATTTAATTTATCTTTTAAATGAACCATCTTTGATCCCAAAACGGGGAAGCTTTATTATTTAAAAAAAAAAACCATTTTAAAAGCCTTTAAAATTCCAAAGACATCAAAAGCTTTCAGCTTCACAAATGTGAGAAATCTGTGCTTTTATTTGTCATACAGTTTGTGATAATAGACTGAATATATTTGGTATTAAATTATTAACCAAACAAAACAAGCAATTTGTAAACATCACTTAACAAACAATGCGTTTTTCAGTTTTTTCTGACATCAATCAATCTAGAAAATAATCAGCAGATTAATCACTGCTGAGAATAACTGTTAGTTGCATCTCTATGCTTATCAATCAACACATGAGCACAGACGCACAAATGCATAATGATGTAAGCGCGGCATTTCCCATTTTCACTTGTTCATTGATGTCACTCACACAACCAAACACATGGCTGAGCACACACACACACGCACACAGACACACACACACAGTTGTGTTTTCATCACTTTTGGGGAAATTATATTAACACACATTTATTTCCTGGAGACTTACCATAACCACCACCAGCCTAACCCGTGGCTTAACGTCAACCTAAACCTAACCCTAACCTTACCCTCCCCTTAAACCAAGTCTTCATCCTAAAATGTAACAATTTATACTATGGGGACGTGCATTTTGTCCCCAAAAGCAAGGAGAGTCCCTACAATGTGACTGTGTAATTCGATTTATGTCCTCACAAGATGGGTCAAAAACACCCACGCTCACACACAGCATATGGTGTGCACTCTCCTCATGTATGAGGAGAGTGCTCCACCCACTCTCCTCATACATGCCCCCGGGGGCGACCCCCTGATGTGCTCACCATCCCAGCATGCTGTCCTCCTCATTCTGACCCGGTGGAGCGGTCTGTAACAGCTCACCTCCCCGGCTCGCCCAGTCATTTAGAAAATCAGCTGAACGCCAGACGGAGGAGTCAAATGAACCCGGCTCTCATTAGTGGCTGCGGGTGACATTTTCCTCTGTTGTTGTCTTCTTCTTCATCCCCCTTCCTCCACCTCCCTATCTCAGACCTATTATGCAGTACAAGATACCATGGCCTTTAGAACGGAGCAGGAGGTGGATTCGCTACATGCCACTATTGAATGTGAACAACCACAGCCTGACCTCTACAAGTGAGTGTGACACACGCTCGCTGATGCATCTTTTTACACCGTTTATTATCCACAACCCTCTTTGACGAAGATCCTCCCTGTTGATTGTACTTTGCTGTGACTCTTTTTGCAGATTTGTGGGACGCATCAATATTTACAGCGACAAAGAAGAGCCTGTGGCTAGGTGAGTGTCATTTTATTGTCGGCAGGTACTCTGTAATTCTTGGGTATAGCTTTTATTAACGTGACCAACACTTTTTCTCAATTAATCAAATGTCTTTAATGTTTTTTCTGTAATAAAGACAGCCAAGGCTTCTGTTTCATTCTTGCAGACCACTTGGGGCTGAGAATTTGCTCCTCAGAGGAGCCACACTGAAGAACACACAACGTATTTATGGTAGTAATATGCAGATTCACTGTTCAATGTCGCTTGAATGTTTGAGCTAAGGAAAGGCTGGTGTGGTTATTGGCTTGATGACTCAGTGTTTTCTCTCCCCTCAGCTGTTGCAATCTACACCGGTATGGAGACTAAGATGGCGCTTAATTACCAGTCTAAATCTCAGAAGCGCTCCGCTGTAGAAAAGTACGATTAACGTCCCCACTCCTTCACCTGCGTGATCTAGATTTAAAGTATGATTGGTTCCCGTTTCCTCTTCCTGATCTTTACTCCGCCTCTCTGCAGGTCGATGAATGCCTTTCTGGTCGTGTATCTGTGCATCCTGATCAGTAAAGCGGTGATCAACACCGTTCTGAAATACGCTTGGCAGTGGTCTCCAGACCGAGACGAGCCCTGGTACAACCACAGGACTGAGAACGAGCGCCAGCGCCACGTGGTCAGTTCACCAACCTCGAACTCAAAAACACGATCTTGACACCCAGTCCCAAAATCTCATCTCCCTAAAACTTCACGCCCGTTGTCTGTCTTCCTCCCTCCTTCAGGTGATCCGAGCATTCACAGACTTCCTGGCCTTCATGGTCTTATTTAATTACATCATCCCAGTGTCTATGTACGTGACGGTGGAGATGCAGAAATTCCTCGGCTCTTATTTCATCACCTGGGATGAAGAAATGTTTGATGAAGAGCTGGGGGAGGGAGCTCTGGTCAACACCTCTGACCTGAATGAAGAGCTGGGACAGGTACACGAGCACACACACACACACACTCCGACATTTGCATACAGTATCTGCATTTAAACTATTTGCAGACGTGCTCTTACCCTACCCTTTCTCTTCCTTCCCTCCCAGGTGGAGTACGTGTTTACTGATAAGACAGGCACTCTCACTGAGAACAACATGGAGTTTATTGAATGCTGCGTCGATGGGAACGTCTACGTCCCGCACGCCATCTGCAACGGCCAAATCCTCAGCGCTGCTTCCAGTATAGACATGATCGACTCCTCGCCTGGAGGATACAGGAGAGTAAGTGTGTTTCACAAAGTACACAGGCTTCTAAATCCAGCCTGAACAGACTCATTGTAACTCTACTGTAGAATATAGACGAGAATAAAGACGACTCTTAACATATTTTAGTTGAAAATGAAAGAGATTAACTAACATGTCACGTTTTCAGGCAGGAGAACAAATGTTTGTTTTGCTGATCAACACAGTAGGCATACAGCCTGCGTATTCAGTTCATGACAACTTTGACTTTGTCTTTGTAACCCCTAAGTGTTTGCTGTGTCTTACATGGAGAAAAAAAAGGTCCTCTGGTACACAGAAAACTGATGAGCCTCGCTTTTCTGGCTGTGGCAACAGTAATTAGTTTAGATGTAATAGAAGAAAAATGTGTGTAGTCAGCATGAGCAGCAGAAGCCACCACAGATGACCAGAGAGAGAGAGAGAAGAGCACTCTCTGCCAAAACGTTCAGTGCAGAAGAAAAGAGTTTACGGATGTGCTGCATTATTGCTTTGTAATTCTGGGAAATGTAGTTCAGTTCAGTTCTTACTGGGAAACCAAATGTGTGCTTCTGAAGAAGTCCCGCACCTTTTGAAAAGAACTGAACTGTTGCATTTGTAAAATGAATGTTTGTTTGTGTCTGTAGGAGCACGAGGATCTGTTTTTCCGGGCGCTGTGCCTGTGTCACACGGTGCAGGTGAAGGAGGAGGAGACGGTGGATGGTATCAAGAGGGGCATCCACCAGGGCAAGCCCACCTCCTTCTACATCTCCTCCTCACCGGATGAGGTGGCTTTGGTAGAGGGGATGAAAAGGTAAACACACTAAACATGCCATTTGCAAAATGAATCTGCAGTCCTTCAGTAGTAGGGCAGTGTCCTGCACTCTGCACTCAAATTTGACGTGAACTATGAAAAGTTTAGACTTTGAGCTTCAGTTTGAGGGTGTTTACATTCACACCAGATGAACAGTGTAAGAGAACTGTAGCTATTTATATTCATAGTCTCCCAATATAAGCCGACCAGGATAAATGAAACTTGAAGTGTGTTTGATATTTGGCTGGGAATCCTTTGCTGTAAATCACTTTCTAACGTGTAACACACACGTTAGCAAAATGTGACAAGGAGACAAACAGCATCAGATTGAGGACAGACTGACTTACATGTAGCCAGTCAAGAACGCACCACCGCTTGACAATAAAGGACTCGATAACTGTTTCTGTATGTAACTGGACTTCCTGCATCGCATTTCACCTGAAGCAACGTGCCGACACCGACACCGACCCTTGCGTTGTTTTTAACACGTGTGGCACAAGTGAGTAATGCTGCATAGTTTGTATTGATATTCAGACTTACATGAATCATCTCTATGTCTCTGTCTCTATGTCTCTGTGTCTCTGTCTCTGTCTCTGTGTCTCTGTCTCTCTGTCTCTATGTCTCTGTCTCTATGTCTCTGTCTCTATGTCTCTCTGTCTCTCTGTCTCTMTGTCTCTATGTCTCTATGTCTCTCTGTCTCTATGTCTCTGTCTCTATGTCTCTATGTCTCTGTCTCTSTSTCTCTGTCTCTCTGTCTCTCTGTCTCTATGTCTCTGTCTCTMTGTCTCTRTSTCTCTGTCTCTCTGTCTCTRTSTCTCTGTCTCTCTGTCTCTCTGTCTCTATGTCTCTGTCTCTCTGTCTCTATGTCTCTGTCTCTCTGTCTCTGTCTCTGTCTCTATGTCTCTGTCTCTCTGTCTCTTTGCCAGGCTGGGTTACACCTATCTGAGACTGAAAGACAACTACATGGAGATCCTCAACAAAGACGACGAGATTGAAAGGTTGGTTAGTTAGAGGTCTGTTGTGGTTTCACCACAGGAGATAAAGTAAGAGTAATTGAGTTGATGGAGCTGTGGTCATACATCAGCTACCTGGAGAGAAAGGGCTCTCGGATTGTGTTACATGTTAAACGGAGAGAAAAAAAACAAGAGGGTTGTTTTTAGAAACTGCTCAATCGGATCAAAATGCTCCAGCTGATCTGGAAGAAAGAAAGGCAGCGAGATTCCATTAGAGAGTGGTTTTGTGGAAAGCGTCTAATGTTTTGATCCGTAGGAAGTGCTCATGTAGCCACCCCTCACTCTCTGCAGTGGCCTGTCAATAGTGAGCTATTTTAAGGAAGCAGGGGAGCTGGAGAGAGAGGGGGGGGGTGCATCCAGCAGATGTAAAGACTTTGCAGGGAATGGAAAGGCAAAGGGTTCTACTCTCACACTTGCTGTTTTCAACATTTGTTGGGAATATTTTGGCCTTTTACACAAACTACCAGACTACCCTAAGGTGCACTTAATTCTCAAACCTCAGACCGATATTTTCAGTTTCACTTTATTTGAATTCCAGTTTGCATTTAAAAAAAGTTCAAAGATCATCAACAGAGAAGGAGGGGCATTGCATTAGAAGTGGATGTGTTGATACTGCAAGAGTGACAAAGTAAGTGACCTACTTTTGACATTATAGTATAAGATTACACAAAACAAATGGATAAAACATCAAACGTTGTTGTCCTGCAGATGAATCATGAAGGTGTCTGTTGAAGTCACTATTTACCAAACAGCCACCCTTGGAAAGTCCGATCAAACCCTGGAATAGCTCTTTTGCTTTTGACTCTTTGATATTGCCTTCTTTTTCAAATCATTTTACACTTGTAAAAAAAAAAAGACAATGTACAGTGAGAGCTGAGTGGACTCATTTTAATTCAGTTGCAGAGTTAAGAAAAAGAAACCCCTTCATTGAAAGTCTGTCCCTCCTTCAGATTTGAGCTGCTCCACGTGCTGAACTTTGACTCCGTCAGGAGGCGAATGAGCGTCATAGTCAAGTCAAGCGCAGGTAAGATGTACTCAATGCTATCTTCATGCAGTTTATAAGTCCATGGTCGGACACCAGACTCCTCTTTCAGTTTGTTTGAAAGGTCTTTTTTGTGTGTGCTTTTGTGGCATCTCAGGAGAATGCCTGCTGTTTTGCAAGGGGGCGGACTCATCCATCTTTCCTCGTGTCGTGTCTGGGAAGGTGGAGCAGGTGAAAGCCCGGGTGGAACAGAATGCTGTTGTAAGTGTACAGTTTTGGTGCATTGTGTCAGGCCAGTTTTGGGATAGATATATTTGAACAGTTAAAAGGCATTGATAAATCCATATATGAAGGCCATCCCTCTCTTCTTCACTGTAATGCAGGAGGGGCTGCGGACTCTCTGCGTCGCTTATCGAAAGCTGTCAGAGTCCGAATACCAGGAGGCGTGTCATCACCTGAACGAAGCCAAGCTGGCCCTGCAGGACAGGGAGCAGATGCTGGCGCAGGCCTATGACATCATTGAGAGGGACTTTGTGCTTTTGGGAGCGACGGCAGTGGAGGACAGGTTGGTCGAGAGAGAGAGAGAGAGAGAGAGAGAGAGAGAGAGAGAGAGAGAGA